AAAAAAAAAAAAAAAGAAAACCTTTACAACAAAGCATAACAGATTTATTTAAGAGATTATGGCACATCTGTAGTGGTATTTGGCCAGTATATGTTCTAGAGAATAACCTGCCGGACTCCTGAGCTTCAAGAAATGACTGTTCAAACTCACCTGCCAAGAGACTGGCGAGTCAGGGAGAAGGGGAGGTGTGGCAGGAGTGTGGCCTTCAGGCCTGGCTTTGCTGAGCTGAGAATGGGTCAGAAGAAACCAACAGCACTGTTCAGGATGAAGATGGCTCTAAAACCAAAAGAGAAGATCCAGAGCACCTCCTCTGAAGGACCCACACAGAAGAGCAGTCACTGGCTTCTGCAGTTCTGCAGTAGAGGTCTGTTTGGATGCTGAATGAAAAGGGAAGCAGGAGAACTTTTCCTCAGGAAATAATTTTACAAAAAGGGAGTGGAAGCCAGGTGCGGTGGCTCACCCCTGTAATCGCAGCACAATGGGAAGGCAAGGCAGGCGGATCACAAGGTAAAGCGATTGAGACCATCCTGGCCAACATGGTGAAACCCCATCTCTACTAAAAATACAAAAATTAGTCGGGCGTGGTGGTGTGCACCTGTAGTCCTAGCTACTCGGGAGGCTGAGGCAGGAGAATCGCTTGAACCCAGAGGCGGAGATTGCAGTGAGCTGAGATCGCACCACTGCACTCGAGCCTGGTGACAGAGAGAGACTCCGCCTCAAAAAAAAAAAAAAAAGAGAGAGAGAATGGACTTCTGCATCCACTCAGGATGGAGTATCAGGGACCAGGTTTATTCTCCTCCCTGATAAAATGAAAAAACAGGCAAAATAAATGAGAGAATGTTTTTTGAGACACTGGATTTGGGGCAAAGAAGAGGTAAAAGTACCTAATAGACAGGAAACAACTGAGGTAAGCTCTGTGATTGCCTCTGCATCCTGCCTAGAGAGAGTTACCAGGGTGCTGTTCAGGGAAGTGAACCCAGGCAGAGCCTGGTAGACTCAGAGTTGAAGAGCTAAATCTGGGGAGATCAAGGCAGCTCAAGTTTATAGGACACAGTCCCAGAGAAAAGAGAGTTGCTCAAAGGGTCCCCTTGAATATTCAGCAGAGTGCTGATAATGTAAGTGAGGAAACTACCCAAGGCAGGAGAGAAAAAAGTATCCAAGAGGATGAGCTAACAGCACCTGGCACTCAAACAGTGCCTCTTCCCAATAGCCCGACTGGGAAAACTTGTAACTCCTGAGGTGTTGGGAAGTGGACTTGGTGAATTCTTGCCTCAGTAGGATGTGTAATTGGGTCTTATCTGAACACTGCTCCAGACCTGCTTAGCAAATCATAAAGCAAGCATCAGAGGGATCAAGCTGTTTCCAAGTGAATTAACTATACAACAAACAACGCTTAAGAGTATTTATAGGAATATAAAATACCTAGAACCCAACAAGATAAATCACATTGTCTGATATATAATCAAAGATTATTAGGAAAACATATTGAGGAGGATAACCAATCAATCAAAACCATTCAAAACTGACACAGTTAATAGAATTAGAAGACAAGGGCAGTAAAAATTGTTATTGTAACTGTATTCTGTTCAAAAAGTGAAGCAGAGACATGGAAAATATAAAAAAGGCTCAAACTTGTATCTCTTTTCTCCATTTTCTCCTTTTACTTCCCCCCTCCCTATTAGATGCTAGATTTTAGATGGTTCCCAGGTGGTTAATTGAAAGTAAATTGACATTTTTATTTTATTATATTTATTATAATGTAATGACATTTACTAGGCCAATGACCTCTTGAAAACAGACTGAGAGCTATGAATTTGTTGGCTTCATAAATGTGTAATCACAACTTACATTTTCTTTTAAAATTAAAACTAAGCTTATGAGTTGGCAAGGAATTGAATTTAACAAAATTTTTGCTCTAAAGTGTCTGTTAGGGAATAAATCTTGGCAGTTTCAGACTTTATGTATAGTTGTGAGAACAGATGTACGTAGAATATTTAACAGTTTATTAGATTCTTGAGTTGACAGTAAATATAGTTTAGGACTGATATTTAAGTTCTTAAAGCTTTATTTGAACAATGAGTATCTGTTTGCCATTTTAAAATAATAAATGCTTCTCTAGTTTACAAAACTCTTTTTGTTATCTCTTTCCCTCCAGTTATGTAAATGACACATTGGGGCTCATAAAGCATTTTGTTTTTAAGAGGAATGAAAATCTAAACTGTATCTTTGAAGTGGAGAGTGGTAGAGACTAAAGATTTAGCAATCTTGGGAAAAGTTTTTTGAAATTAAGCAAAGCATAATTATTATTATCCTGGGTTAAAAAACTGGTAATCCTTTTTCCAAAGTTAGATTGATTATAGGTTGTACATTATAATTTACAGAGTCTGTAATAACAATGTTTTAGAACTTACTACATTTGGAATAATGTACATTTTACATGACCCATGGTTGTGTTGGAGTTTATGTTTCATCAGTTACTGTGCTTTTCAGAGATACTGTCAAAAGTATAAAGTTTGTTATTTTGGTCTTAAGTTGAATGTGGCTAAAACCATGGTATTACCCTATGCTTTTCTCACTTTTCTGGTTCTCTTGATGAATGTGAGAGCTGGGACAGGCACAGGCATACCTGGCAGCCTACCATATCTCTGGCATCAGTGGTAAGAAAGAACCGCAGTGAAGGCAGCAACAAAAAAACACTGCTCCTCCTCTCTGCCGCAGCCCTTGTCTACCGTCTCTGGGCTGTGCTCTAGCATGGCTGAGTTAGCCCAGTTTTTTTCTATGGCTGAGAAGCAGGTCTCTTTTATTTGCCTGCCTCTTACTATTACTAATCTTTCATTCTGGCTCAGAAACAAATGGCACTGTAATTGTTTAAAAGGAATTGGAACAATTGCTACTGGAGAGAGAGTTTTTTGTTTTGTTTTGTTGTCAGACAGGGTTTTGACACCAAAACCTGTGTCAAGAGATCTTCCTGCCTCAGCCTCCCGAGTAGCTGGGATTACAGGTTTGAATTATTGTGCCCAGCTGATGCTACTGGAGAGGTTTGATACTGGATTTCAAAGAGGGACATTTTCCCCCAAAGATAGCAACATTTTCCTTCCTTTGTGGAAGTTTTGTGCCATGTTTAGGACCAGTTCTTATCCTTATAACTTATGTTGAGAAGTGCATTATTGCCATATAAAATAACACATTATTTCTTTGAGGAAGAGAAAATAGAAGTTACAATTCTTAAGGATTACTTCAGGTAGATTTGAGAATTTATTAGTTCATCCCAGTATTCTTGCTGTGCATGGGTTTTTAAAAGCTAAAAAGTATCCTTTGAAATTATTAACATTGGACTAATTTGGGGAAAGTTAAACACTATTTTACATCATAGTCACCTTTTAAGAATATTTCTTAATTAAAATAAATGGAAAAGGTACATGGCATACCACAGTTAAAATATTATCAAAAAAGGATTGCATCAACATTGTATAATTTGAAGACATTGTTAGAGAACAAATCCGTGATCCACTTTATGTATTTAACCTATGTTTCTCTTAGCTTTTTAAGTAACTGAGGTCCTTGACAAATCAATCTTTATTTACCTGACTTGATACTGTCCTCTCTTGACTTCAGCACTGGTATCCTAGATGTTCTTCTCTGCCTCAGATTCATTTTAGTTTTCTCTGTAGATGCTTTAATGCTGGTATTCGCTAGTGCTCTGGTCTTGGTTGTTGCCTCTTCTCCTTCTGCAGACCCTCTTTGGGTATGCTCTTCTACATCCTTGGCTCATCTGCCAGCCATAAGGTGATCCTTATCAAACCACTGTATCCAGTGCGGTCTCTCTTCTTACCTGCAGAACCAGTTGCCATCTACACAGCTCTTCCTGGAATTCCCAACAGCACCATGCCCAAAATTGTCTTCCACAGCAAAACCTGACCTTTTTCTGTTCTAATAAGATATCACCACTATCGATTTATCCAAGCCACAAATGTAGAAGTCATAATCTCCTCCTTCCTCTCCTACCATCTCTGCCCAGTTCTCAGTCCAGTCCAAAATTTCCTGACTCTCCTTGCCTTTCTGTCTTCACTGATCCTTTCCTGAGTTCTAGCCCATGTCTTTGTAGCCTGAGTTACACTTATAGACTCCTAATTAGTCTTCCTGTCTGTAGTCTTGTGTCCCTTCATTTATATTACTGTTAGAGTGTTCATTTTTTTTTTCCAAAATGCAGATAATGTTTCTCATTTTCAGGATAAAAACATTAAGTGATGATGGTGATGATGATAGTAATTATAATAATAGCCTTTATTGAACACTCAATGTGTACCAGACACTGCTTTAAAACTCTAAATTAACTCATAGAAGTCTCACAATGACCATTTGAATAGGGGTACTTTCTTCTCTACCAGTAAGAAAAGAGAGACTAGGGGAGATAAAACAACTTGTCAGGAGTTGGAAGTAGCAGTGCTGGGCCAGAAGCAATGTATTTCTGACTTCAGAGTCTCCTCATGTCTTTGATAATATACTGCCTCCACCCAAAGCCATCTGCTCTGTGCTTGGGTGCCATGGAGTATGAAAAGGATCATGCTTCTCTTCATGTATTGACTGCTGTGGATGACTCAGTGTGAGCATGGGCAAGCAGAGATTTTAGGGCCTGGGTCCACTTGATCAGGAATATATTTGCATGTGGGATGCATGAGTTTTAAAAAAAAAATCTGCCTTTACCTTGTCAGCTGTAAAGCAACAAGCCTGTAAGGACATACAGTTTCAAGTGGTGGGGCATGACTATAGACAGCTGATAAATGACAAACCATTGATTTGGTGATAATTAACAATGGGATGGATCTTTAAGGAATTGGCTAGCCACTAAAAATTTTGGATAAGAAAATCCATGGGCCAGGTGCTGTGGCTTATGCCTATAATCCCAGCATTTGGGGAGGTGGAGGTGAGTGAATCACGAAGTCAAGAGAGCGAGACCATCCTGGCCAACATGGTGAAACCCCATCTCTACTAAAAATACAAAAATTATAGCTAGGTGTGGTGGCACATGCCTGTAGTCCCAGCCTCTTGGGAGGCTGAGGCAGGAGAATCACTTGAACCTCGGAGGTGGAGGTTGCAGTGAGCTGAGATCACACCACTGCACTCCAGCCTGGTGACAGAGCAAGACTCCATCTCAAAAAAAAAAAAAAAAAAAAAAAAAAAATCAGTAACACAAAGTGATATTAATTTTTTAAGTAGTTTTATAATAAAAATTTTTAGCCAATTAGTTGGTATGGGCTAGTCACCAAGCACCAGTATACCAGGAAAAATAAAAGTGTTTTTTGCAGACTTGTTTTTGAAAACCACGAGATGTCTAAACCATAAGATGTCTTCAGGGGTATGTTGAGGGTTTTACCTCATGCATACATCAATGATCCTAGCTTTCAATGTTATTTTTTATTAGTTTCCTAAAAATAATGTACTTTCCCCAAGCTAGGTAAACCCAGATGTTGCCTGGAAGTTTTGGAGTAGCTCTGAGTTTAATATATCTGACTTGAATCCTATAGATTTAGTGATGTACTTAAGTAACTTTCTGTTAGGGCTGAACTTGGCCCCTGAACTGTATTTGGATGCTGAAGATGGTACACATGCAGAGCCAGAGAGCTGTGAGTTTTATTCCCAGTTCTGTCACTTATTCTCTGTGTGTCCTTCCATCCTCAAGCCTCATTTTCCTCATGTATTAAGTGAGAGTGATGATACCTACAGTTAGGTAATTGCAAGTTATAGGAGACAGGTTGTGTAAAATGCCTTGCATAATGTGGAGTATATAGTAGGGACTCAATAAATATCCTTTACCCCTGTCTCATCTTATCACTACTTGTCTCAACCTCTCTTTCTCCAGGCATGGCTTTCCATATCAGATAGATTTTCGTGTAAGACAGTTCTAGGAAAGTGATTCTTATAAGGTGGGTGGAATGTAATCCACATATAACTTAGTGCTGTGCCAACCTGCCTAGAACTTTATTATCTTTTTTGGAATCCATTTTTCTTAAATTCCAGGTCTTCTTTGTTACCGTATCCTTCAGATTCTTTCCAACTTTAAATTCCAAAATTCTGAAGTCTTATCGTCTTGTTACTTTCTAGGCTATATTTGCCCAAAATAGATATATAAAGTTTATATTAATAGCATAATAAGGATTTAATAGCATTTTTACAGTGAACTAGCTGCTTTTCAAGATGTTTTATTTTATAGATAATGTTGAAAATGTTTTGCTGGTTTTATGTAAGAATAAATGACAACAGGGATTTTTAAGGTATAGAGAGTTCTGAGAAAATTCATCCCAAGCTGGAAGAAGACCCCTCCCACCACCCACCACCAATCCCCCTCAGACTCTATTAACGGAACCCCACCAAGCCTGTAGGGAGACACATTTTCAGGTGGTACCACAGGACTGTGGACTGCCAGGAAACAACAGTTCGCTGACTTGTTGGTGATGAGTGGTAGATGCTTCTTTCTGGAGAGTGGGCTTGTGAGATCTTTCCCAGGAACAAGTAGTCACAGTAATAGGTTCTGTCCGTCAGCCATAACAAAGGGCCCCTGTTCAGGAGTGTTCTATAAAAGAGTATTGCTGATCATGCTTAAAAAAATTTCCCCTACACATATCTACATATGAAGAAAAATGTTGGGGTGCATTTTGCAGTTGGCATTTTGAATGTGGTATTTTGTGTTAGCCTTTCATCATGGATTTGTCCTAGAGAGGCAGTTTAGTATTTAGAGAGAATTTGCTTTGTCTGTGTTTATGGAGGCATTTATCCAGTAGCTTCTGTCTATTAAGTTTTCATCTTGAGTCTGAGCTACTTGATTTCTACTTACATGCACATTTAATATACTTCTTGTAACATTCCATAGACTTATTTATTAATGTGATTCTTTCTTTCATTTTCATTCTCTCTCATAACTCAATCCCTGGAGAGAAAATGATTAAACAATAGCAGTTTCACCCTTTGGAATATTATTAGCTTTTGAGTCTAGTGTTATTCTTTGAATGTTTTAGTTTCAGGGTTATGCTAAATTTTGTAAAGGCATTAGCTGAATCGAGTAAATTTTGAAATATGGTAACATTTAAAACAAGGCATTTCAATTCATTTTATTTGATCTTCTGAAAATACTATTAAATTATGGAAGTAAGAAACTCAATTTTTAGAAAATGCAGTGATGAGTTGTTTCAAATAAGATAATATTTGATCAGACTTTATCAAAAATAAAATGTAGTTACAGCAAGGGCCTCTTTGAAGAAGCAGACCTTAGTCATCCTGAGGCCTTAGTACTTGGTAATCATGATTTGCTGGGTGTCTCTTGGGTTCAACTCTGGGCACGTGTGTGATGCAGGATGGATGGAATGCAGTTTCCACACCTCAGGAACTGTGTGATGTTACTCTAGAGATGACACCTGTACAGACAGAACTACATTACGAGGCACCATGTGAGATGTATAACATTGACCGAGTTTAATGCTATGGGATTTTTGATAAAGGAGAAATTCCTGATTGGGTGTCAATGAAGTCTTCTTGGAAGAAGATGAATTTGAAGGCTGTTTTACACTAATAATTACTATTAGCTTTTTTATGCCAATAACAGAGTTTGAAGGAGAGTGACTAGAACTTAAAACTCCCGCTTACCCATGCTCTTTCATCTAGTTAACTGAGAGTGTGACTTAATGCTTGAGAGTAAAATATCTGCTATGTTCTTGATAAATGTTGCGCATCATCATCAGTTATACTGTCCTTGAAAACTCATTAGCTCAGTCCTTGCTTCTCCAGGAGGTTCTTTCCTGCCAAACCAAAATGAATGAGTGGTCCTGTCTTCTTTATTTTTAGAGTATCCCCAGCATGTCATTACCAAAGCACTGTAATCTATGACATTGATTTCTAATTATTGCTTTCCTTCTCTGTCTCCCCCATTAAAATTCCTTGAGGTTATGGAACATGTCGATCCCAAACCTAGCATTATTCCTAATGCTATTCCTAACACTACCATAGTGTCTAAGGCTTAATAAATTTTTGTTGAATGAATGATTGAACTCAACCAAAATTATATTCAATAGAAGAAAATGGATATTTATATAAGGTTGATGGCAGTGACAATGGAGAGAAATGGATTAATTCAGGATATGTTTTGAGATAGAATTGACAGGATTTATTGATTAATTGGATGGAGAATTTGGGAGACGGATGAGCCAAAACTTGAGGAGCTGGGTAATGCCATTAACTAAGATGAGGTAGATGGGAGAAGAACAGGCTGTCTTGCAAATGTTTGAGAAGCCTCCTTCACTTTTGCGTAAAGCTGTCTATCATCTGGGCAGTTGCATATGAGTCTGGAGCTCAAAGAAGAGATCAAAACAAGAAATGTAATCATGGAGCTAGTAGCATATGGATGGCATTTAAAGCTAAGGATGAAACTGGCTTGGGAGCGAATGTAAGCTGAGGAGAGAAGAGGGCTCAGCACCAAGCCTGCAGCACTCCAGCATCTTGTGGTCTGAATGGGATGGAGACAATAGCAAAAGAAACTGAGGAGGACACTAGAGAGAACTGTTTCAAGAAACTGACACAAGAACAGAAAGCCAAACACCAGATGTTCTCACTCATAGGTGTGTGTTGAACAACAAGAACACAGGGACTCAGGGAGAGGAACATCCACACACTGGGGGTAGCTGGTTGGGGGAGCGGGTAGGGGAGAGACAGTGGGGGTGGGGAGAGATAACATGGGGAGAAATGCCAGATACAGTATGCACCTAAAGTAAAATAAATAAATTAAAAAAAAAAAAAAAAAGAAACCACCAGTTGAATCAAATGCTGCTGAAGGATTAGGATGAAAACAGAATTGGTCACTAGATTTGTCAACATGATGATTGTTGGTGGCCTTGATGGTGTAGTGGGTGGTCCAGAAGCCAAATTGGAATGGGTTCAAGAGTGAATGCGAAGCGAGAGAGTAGGAATCTATGGGAGTTAAATCCTTGAGTAGGCTGAAAGGGATGGGAATCCTGTCTGCAGC